GGGTTTTAGTCTCCACGTGGTAGGTGGGTTTCTTGCCTTCTTCATATGGTTTATTTCTAGTTTGATTCCTTCGTGGTTCGGAGAAAATAGTTGGTATGATTTCCATCTTAGTGTATCTGTTGATGTTTATCTTGTGACCCAGTATGCCCACTTACTATTTTTAACTTTTACTCCTTTTAATAATTTTTTTTTCTTTCTCCACCACTTATTACAAAAACATTTAGTTCAGAAAATTAAAAGGAAATAAAGCCACAACTCTGCCTGTTCAGATATAATCATTTTTCGTTTTTTTCAGTGCTTTTAAATACATACATAAAAGCTTTTGAAAGTAAGTAGTGTGTAAGTGTTTTAAAACAGAACCGAGATAAATTATTCATAGTTTTGCAACCTGCTTCTGTCACTAAATAATGAATACTAGTACACATCAAGCCTTATAATTTTGTAATTATTTGAAGGCTACACTGAATACCTTTATATGAATTTGCCATAATTTCTTTAATCCAGTTATAGAACGTCTCTGAATTACTAGTTAGTACTTACTATCATGGTATCCCAAGATAATGTGTGTTTGTGTTGATGAGAGATGATTTCCTTAGTGTAAATTTTGAGAAATAGAAGTTCTGGTTCAAAGGGCCTGTTCTTAAACTTTTGAGATGTTCTGTAGATAATCCTTGAGAAAAATTACATGCATTTATCCTTTCATTAGTGGTATGTCATCTTTAAACTCTTCACTCTATATGATACTGAGGGAGATATAAGGAGATGATATTCCTATCTACAAAGACAGAAAGAGAGAGAGAGAGAGGCCAGTAGAGAGAATATTTCTGAGGAAGAATGCCTTCCCCATTTTATAGGTGTATTATTTGACCTTCAGACTCAGAAGGGAAACTTCTTTCTCCTGAGAATTGAAACAATGAATGACTGATATGTGTGTGTTTCACACACTGGCGAAATGCCCCAACACTCTCATGCTTTAGATCTCAGCTTCTTATTTTCCCTAATTAAAGTAATTTCTATGTACAAAATGATGTAAAAATAAACTTTTGTAATTAAAAAAAAAAGTAATTTCTAGTTTCTGCCTCCTTTCATTCATCCTTCATAATAATTGCCAGAATAATCCTTATTAATTAGAGCTGTTATTTACTCCTTTCTTTTTCAAAGACCAGGATAGACTCTCAGGATGTAGCCCAAGGCTCTACATTGCTGTCTTGGTTGGCCCTGTTCACCTGGGCCAGCCGGCCTGCCTTACCCAGTACTTCAGACAGTGCTGCTTGTTTCCTGTTTGTTTTAGACTTTTGTCTTTTTCCTGCCCAAAGAATGGACCTGATCCTTAACAGTTTTTCTGTTAATCACATCTACTCCCCAAATAACATTACCACCATAGAAAATATTGTGCACCCTACTCAAATCCAAGAACAAGCCTTGGTATGGTATTTTTTCTCCATTCCAGCTTAATACTTCAGGTTTTATGTTTTACTTTAGGGTACAAGTAATTGTTGACTGGCTGCCTTATACTTTATCCCACAAAGGAAAAGAAATACAAGGTTACTGGGAGCAGGGATGTGTCATTTATTTCATACCTTTCCCATAGCACATATGGGAACTAAATGCTTTCCCATAGCACATAGCTTAAAGGTATTCTCAAATGTATAAACCAGATTATGGTGTTTTGAGCCCTGTAGCACTGGGATTTATTAACTTTCTGGGTGCCATCACAGCTTATTTCATCCTTAGGCTATGAGTGATTTGCTGACAAGTTCAGGAGCATTTGAGGAACACAATCAAATCATCATCCTTCTGATTATCAATTTATTGCTCTTTCCGCTAGAGGGTGCTATTGGTAAGGTCTCTTTACCTTGAGCTGCTTTTGATGGCCTGCTCTTGGATAATGATTAAATTGAAGATTAAAAATGACAAGCTGGCCCTCCCTGGTGGCTCAGCGGGTTAAGCACAGCACTGAGAAATTGAGGCCACTTCCGCATGAGTTCGATCCCCGCCTGCCCCGGAGGTGACCACATGGCACGGCAGACCTCTCCTGGCGCGCCGACTGCTCCCCTCAGCAGTGTACTTCGTGGATCTGCCTGTTCTGCTCCCCACTCTGTCCCTGGTGAATTCTCTCACCCTCCGCATCTCTAGCCTGTACCCCAGTTCTGTGTGAATAAATAAATCTTTTAAAAAAAAAAAAAAGTGCCTAATGTTAAAAAAAAAAAAAAAGACAAGCTATTGCAATATTTTGTTTGAAAAAAAAATTATACATTAAGGAAGTACATGAGTGACCTCAGTATGGAGAGGTACTATATACACATCTCTTAGGGATATCTGATATATTAAGGGGAAGGAGACAGGTATAGGGGTTATTAAAAGTAAGTAAAAAGAAAGATGCTGGTAAGAGATAAGTAACTAATAACCAGAGCAGTTCATGAATGGGATTACCTTCGGAAAGTTGTGAGTTTACCATAGTAAGTATCCAAACAAGGGAGTGTCATAGAATCTGTTGCTTACTAGGTTAGGTTAGAATGACTTTCAAGATCCCTTACAACTTAAAATTTTTTTTTTTTTTAAAGATTTATTTATTTGTACATAGAGAACTGGGGTACAGGCCAGAGGCTCAGGGGTGGCGAGAGGCTTC